CCCCCCCCCCCCTTAAACAAAAAAAAAAAAAGAAGGTCTTTAGCCACAGTGAGGTTAAGATAAAAGATAGTGGATAGTTGAAGATGACTTGTTTGGTTAGTTTTGGGAGCTGATTAACATGATTTTGTTTCATTCTCCTCTTTGACTAAGAGATTGCCTTTGGACAGCTGTGGGTAGAGCCAGGCATTAGATGAAACACCACGTTTCCTTCAATCATCAGTTGTGTTTTTATTAGAAATAGTTAAGTAGCTAGATATTGTATATTTAAATTCCTACTTGACTGCTTCATTTAAAAATGTAGTCATTAGACTTTGATCTTTGAAGCATTTATCTTTGACTTGTAGAACATGATAATTGTAAGATTTTCTCTTTATCATGATTTTTATAGCAATTGATGGTATTTTATTTTTTTATGATTCCAAAAATCTTCTTTTGAGAAATTACCATTGCACAAAAGTCATCTTGAGCCCACTGTGTGTGTGTGTGTGTGTGTGTGTATGTATGTATGTATGTATGTATTTATTTCTGTAGTCATATACTGGAATGTGGTTTCAGACGAGTCAGAAACCACTTTATCCAGTTTATAGTGAAACCAAGGCTGTCAGTGTTCTTTAACACATTTTCTGCATTGACTTTTAACAGCTTCAAAAGGTAACTAGGCATTGTGAAAAGAGGTTGCTGTGTTGGTTTTCTGTCTGTGATTAAATGGTCTGTTAGGATTTTGGTCCTTAAATTACTTTCAATATATTGTCCAATATAATTCCTTATGACAGCGATCAAATTGGTAATATTAGAAGGTTATTCATTATAAATTTTCATTTAATGATTTCATTAATATGCCATATTAATTTAATATGCTAATTTTTAAAAACTGGATTTTTGTCTTCATTTTCTAAGCCCTAAATTGACTATTTTATTTTGAAGGAGGCTATCTGCATTAATTTGGGAAGTCCGATATATAGAACATAATGCCAGAACATTTAATGAACCTGAAAGTGTGATTGCAAGATCAGCTAAGAAGATAACTGACCAACTTTTAAAATTTATTAAGTAAGTGATCTCATATGTTGTGTAAAAGTAACTGCAGGGTATGATCTTGTAACCATCTCGTTTTTAACTTTTTAAAGGTCTGAAATATTCTTCTCTAGTGTTTTGTTTTAGATGACATTTCTTCATATATTCATTATAATTTCAGTAAAGGAACAAGAAATGGAACAGTTTTTTTTTTTACTTTTTATATTGCAGAGATACCATATACCCTTCATCTAGTATGTCTTTGTTAACATTTTACTCAATTATGGTATGCTTATAAAATATTAAAGTTAACCATGGTACAATAGTATTGATAAAATGTAGAATTTACTTGGATTTTACTTATTTTTACACCAATATTCTTGTTAATTTTTCACGAGCCAACTTGGACTCCCCATTACATTGTGTTTTCTTACTTTTCTGCCTGTTCCTCATTCTTCCCTTTTGTCTCATGATCTCATCATTTTTATAAATGTTCATTACTTACTTTAATACTTAGAGTATACTTAATTTGTTGTTTTTTTTTAATGATTAGTTTGGATTATGTCCTGTGAAAGTATTTGTACATATGTGAATATTCCATACATTTTATTCCACTGGGAAGTCAGTTTGGAATGAAAGAATGAAAAGTGAAATAGACATTGAGACTCAGGTTCTAATGTTTTTCTGTGCATTCTTTCATACATTGGACAAACAAGTCAGCATCATTGTTCTTATGATTTAAATCATAAATTATAATTCTTCATGTAGCTATGACAATACTTTCTAAGAATCAGATATTGGAGAAAATAATTTATAGACAGTGTCATCATTTTCAACATCTAGCTAAATGCTAGAGGATAATGGACTGCTTTCAGTTTCCTTTGGTTAATTGTGTCCTGAGTCTTGGGCACCCAGACTCATGTAACTCTTCTCAGGATCACCTTTACTGCTTAAGGAAAATCACATACCCATTTTTATCATCTTTATACCTAGACCTAACCATACTTTAACATCTGTTCTTCTGACTCCCCCCCGCCCAAGCTATTATATTGTTTTATTTTCTACTTCCTCTTTCCTTAGCTTTGATCTCAAATCACCTATATGTATTCCTGTACTGTATGAATATCTCTAGTGCTGATACTTAGAAAAACTCATCTATGCAGTCAGCCAAGTGAGGCCATGCATATGTTGTTTCTGGATTACCAGCTTAATTTACGTACACATTTAAATGGAAAAAGAGAAACAATTCTAAATTAGGATTTAAAGATGGCCAGTTTTTCCCCCCACAGAGGATTGGGTCAAAATCTGGTATTATTATTGTTGAAATTAGGTATAAATAAGTTGGGGACCTGTTTTTATTTTAATATATAGTGTGAAACTAGATTTGCATACCATTAATATGAATTTCTTTTCTTTCTTTTTTTTTTTTTTTTTTAAAGGAATCAAGACTGTACAAACATCTCAGAACTATCTAACACATCTGAAAATGATGAGCAAAATGCTGAGGATTTGGTATGAAGTGTGTTAATTTTACAATTGCTTTTATTAGTTTCAAATGATAATTTAAAAATGAGGAAAGTAGAAGATGTTGGTTACCTAATATTGATTTTTTTCCTGTATTTCAATAAACTATGAATGTAGGGCATTTGATTAAAATTTTTTAAATTATCATCTAGTGGATTAGTTGATGTAATTTTGTTAGCCAATGAGTGATATACAAGACAAAATATTTCCCTTTCCAAATTTTAGCTAGTTAAAGGTATATTGTTAAAAATACCTTGGGGGCCAGGGATATAGCTCAGTTGGTAGAGTGCTTGCCTCGAATGCACAGGGTCATAGGTGCAATCCCCAGCACCACCAAAAAACCAACCAACCAAACAAACAAACAAAAAACCTTGAAAGTCTTTTTGTTGTTGTTTTTATAAGACCATTATCTAAGCATTGAGTTTAATCATAATTAAAAACCAATGGCCTGCTCAAGAGTGCCTGTATATCGCTTCCCCAAAGTGGTAGGACATAGCAACAAATAGCAACAGTGGGTGTACTTTCACTTCATAATATATTTCAGTTTTGGAATGGAGTTGCAGAAAGGATGTTGTTCTTTAAAGCTATTATAATGTTAATTTTACACAAACTCTTATGGTTTACTGTAACATAATAAAAACGGATGTACTAATAAGTGATTTAGGGAATAAGAAAACTCATGAAACGCAAAATGCAGGAACTATAGGAAGCTATGTGTTTCTGGGTAGAGATAAAAATGCAAAGGTGAAGCTGCTTTGTGCATTTGTTGGTTAGGAAATGCAATAAAGTGACGTTTTACTGCAGTGTTTGTATATTTTTAATTAGAATCAAAAACACTTAGGGTGCTCTGATTTTGTTTCTAGGATGATAGTGATCTTCCTAAAACATCTGCTGGACGAAGGAGAGTAAGTTACTCTTTGTGATTGACTTTTTGTGGTGTTCTTTGTTTAAAATCGAATTTTTGCCTTCAGATTTTAGGTTTTGTCTTTCAAAAGTTGTAGTTAGGAAATGTTTAGTGTGAGAGTTGTCATTTGAGCTGTGTTCTCAGAGTGAGATGAGGACAATCAGAAGCATGGTGGATACCTGATCAAAGACAGAAACTGGGAAATGTGCACATTCATGGGCATGCTTACACGACATAGAGGTGGAATGCGGGCATGAGTAAGGTGACCGGATGCCCATTAGGTTAGGAGCAGATAAGGGCTATACTGAAACCCAAGGATTTTATTTAAATTTAAAGCAAGGAAGTGATTGCATAGCCTAAACGGATGAGTAGAATTTGAAGGTTAAGAAGATAGGTATTAAAGGAGATGAGTTAGTTCATTTTGAGAATGTAGCATGAAGCATGGGAACCTAGACGGTTCTTGGAATGGAAAAAGGAAGATGATGAGGCCTTTAAATTTTTTTTTTTTTAAATAATTATAGATGGACAGCATGCCTTTATTTGTTTAGTTTTTTATGCAGTGCTAAGGATGGAACCCAGTGCCTCACACATGCTAGGTGCAAGTGCTCTGCCACTGAGCCACAGCCCCAGCCTAGATGATGAGGCCTTTTAAGGGAAAAATTCACCAGGATTTGGTGACTGAATCATTTTTTAAACTTCAGGATTTGTGGCAGGTGCAGTTCTACATGTCTATCATATCAGCTACTGGGAGGCTAAGCCAGTAGGCTTGTGAGTTTGAGCCCAGCATGGACAACTTGGTGAGACCCAGTCTCAAAATAAAATGAAGTTTAGTCAGGTGTGAGGCCCTGAGTTTAATCTCTAGCAACACACACACACAATCTTAATTTGTTGGGAAGGAGAGATTAAGGAAATGGAAAAGAAGGTATGAAAATAAGTTTAGGAAATTAGGTGAGTATAATTGGATGTCAATATAGCTCTTAAATTCTGCTGTGACAGGTTAATTAAAATAAGTCATTCATAAAAAGTGATTAAAACATCTTAACCTCATCATTTTAAATTTTAAGTGCTCCTTAAATTGAAGTTTCTTTAAGTCAAATGTTACTTTGTTTTACAGTATGCTTTTTTCAAATAATTTTGAGAAGTGAGACCTGTCAGTCTCATCTGATTTGTCATTTTCATATAGTTTAATTTCTAAGTAGACTCCCAAACTTTTAGTAGCTAGTACTTATTTTGTACTTTTTATTTACAAAATTTTATTATTTCCATTACTGAAGATTTAACCCGGGGGCACTCTGCCACTGAGCTACATCCTCAGTTTTTTTTTTTTTTAATTTTGAGATAGGGCCTTGTTAAATTGCTGAGGCTAGCCTTGAACTTGGAATCTTCTTGCCTGAGACCCCCAGGTCTCTGGGATTGCAGGTGTGCAGTGCACTTCTGCACCTGTTTTAAGGCAGCCACAGTTCTTATGATGCAATATAGAAAATAATAAACAGCACAATTGGATTTTTATCACAGTCATGCCATAGTGTAATGATTATTTTCCTAAGAAAATTTAGTATTATAAATGTATTTTTAGGTCCATGGTTGGAAAGTAAGGAGCAACACAGCTACCAGTTATGTTGAAAGCAACTGGAAGAAACAGTGTAAAGAACTGGTGAACTTAATTTTTCAGTGTGAAGATTCTGAACCATTTAGACAACCTGTTGATTTGGTCGAGTATCCAGTAAGTTTTCATTGTTTGAATGTTTGGGTTTTTCTTGTTTTGGGAAAGAGGGGGTTTGAATAGGGTATTTAAATTAAACCTTAAAGAGTATGAGGTCTAGGCTTTATGTTAACATTTTCTCTTACCATTAGCTGTAGAGGTACTCTTGTTTCTCATTTAAGGATTTAGACTTAGTTATCTAGTATTACATAGTAATAAGAGATCCCTGTGTGCTTATCTATTATGTTTATCTATTATCTAAGGAGGCACAGAAGCCCAAGGAAAACTTAGATAAAATTTTACTCTATACACATAGGAAAGATGACCTAAAAACAAACAAACAAATAAATAAATAAAAGATCACAACAACAAATTTACTGTAGAAAGGTTGGAAATTATAGAAGTATTAAAGTAGGACATGAAACCATCCCATGTCCTACTACGAAAATAATCTATATTTTGATCTATTTGTACCTTGTCTTTGTGTCTGGACCTTTTTTAAACAGTCATGAATTCTGAAGATGCTTCTACCCCCCAGCTCCTATCATTTTGAATATTCTTGAGATCTGATAAAGTACATCTGTGAACTAACTATTTTTAAAACCTAGGACTACCGAGATATTATAGATACTCCGATGGATTTTGGAACCGTAAGGGAAACCCTGGAAGCCGGAAATTACGATAGCCCTTTGGAATTTTGCAAAGACATCCGATTGATATTTAGCAATGCAAAAGCATATACACCAAACAAAAGATCAAAGGTAAATTTTAAAATGGTTTATTAAAAAATCATTCATGGTCTGTGTTTTCCCACTCATTGGGTAGAGGTTGCAATATTACAAGTAAGTGAATAAAGTAAGACTACTCTGAAGAGCAGAGCTGTGCTGCTGCCCAAAGAGCTTCAGTTCTTTTCCTTTTAACAATTGATATTTGTCATAATCTCTTAAAGTTTACTGAATAAATGAAGATTGGTGAGAATTAAGGTACCAGTAGAAAATGAAAAAATTAGATTGTAGAATGATTCTGTTTTATTGCTCTTAATAATCTTCTAGTCTTTGTCAACACTACTAGTCTATTAAAAGTTTATAAAAATTCTCTGAATTAACTACTGCATTTCATCACGTAATTGCTGCCACTGCATTAAAGTGTATTCATGAGTGTTCCATGCAGCCCAATCTTGCAGCAGAAACCATTCAATCATAAATGATTTTTAAGTAATACTGGCATAGTTTTTTTTTTTTTTTAAAGGTTCACATAAAGGTTGTATCTTGGGGCTGGGGATGTGGCTCAAGCAGTAGCACGCTCGCCTGGCATGCGTGCGGGCCCGGGTTCGATTCTCAGCACCACATACAAACAAAGATGTTGTGTCTGCCAATAACTAAAAATAAATAAATAAATAAATATTAAAATTCTCTCTTTAAATAAAAAAAAGGTTGTATCTTACTTTTTTTGTGAAAAAATTTGGCATGAAAACTGTGATTATGTGGTGAAATCCAGTTGTCAGGATGTTCATATAAACGTCATTGCTTGTACTGTTTCTGTCCCTTTGTGTCCAGCTGATTTCACGTATCATAATGTCTTAAAGACTTGTAGCATGTGTCTGATCTTTATTCCTTTTGTGGCCAAATAAAACTTTGATGTATGGGGATAACACATCTTATTCTTTCATCTGCTAATGGGCAGTTGGGCTGATTTTACTTTTTGGCCACTTTGAATAATACTGCGACAAATATCTGTCTTGAGTACCTGCTTTCAGTTCACTTGGGTGTATATGTAAGAGTAGCCTTGATAGGTCACGGGATGATTCTGTGACCTGTCAGTAACCACTAGGCTGTTTCCTGTAATGGCTTCACCATTTTTTCTGTTCCCACCAAGAATGAGAGCATGCTAATTTTTCCAAATTCTTACCAGTGCTTGCTATTTAGGGAGTTTGTTTTATATTAAATAGCCATACTTCATCTTATGTATGAAGTATAATTTGACTGTAGCTTTGATTCTCTTAATGATTTATTATGTTAAAAATTGCACCCAGGACTTGTTTTATAAGGAATGAGTTGGAGATGCAGAATGATTTTCATGAGGATGTTTATACTCACAAATCCCTAGAAACGTACCACGCAGGTCCTGGAGGAAGATCAGGAGGCAGAGGAGAGTCCTTGCTCAGGAGGCGCAGGGTAGGGCAGATCAAGCAGTCTAGGAATGGCTAGTTGTAATCAGGATTTCAGCACAATTTGGGACCTTAGAGATGTTCTCTAATTTTTTGATAACACATTTTGAGGTGCTTTAAGACATGGGTCTTTTTTTTTTTGCAGTTGTAGATGGACAAAATGCCTTTGTTTCTTTTTATGTGGTGGTAAGGATTGAAGCCAGTGCTTCTCACATGCTAGGCAAGTGCTTTACCACTGAACTATAGCCCCAGCCAGTTATATTGACTTCTTATGTAAAAGTTTGATTGAGGAGATGGGTGGGGGTGTGAAGCCTCTATTATGCATCAAAAAATATACTTGCAGAGGGATCATTTGCTATCTCTAAGCATTGAGGAGGTAGAATCATCCTAAAAAACAGAGAATTAACAATACAAAACATGAGAAAATGTAGTTAGTAAGCTAATGGTGTTAAGTATCTGTTCTTTTGCTTATTGGCTTATTGCCTGTTTATGTACCATCATCTGAGAACTGTCTATTTCAGGTCTTGTTCATGTTTAAATTGTATCTCCTTTTGATGAGAGAGAGATGATTTCCAAATATTTTCTCCCATTTTGTAGGTTGTCTTTTCACTTAGTTTGATAATGTCTTTTGATTCACAAAAACTTTCAATTTTGGTGAAGTAAAGTTTTTTTTTTTTTTAATTTTCTAAATGCTTTTTTGCTTTCATATCTTAAGAAACCATTGCCAAATCCAACACTCTATAAAGATTTGTCTGATGTGCTCTTATAGTTAGTTGCTTGATTTAAAACTTTCTCCGGCTGGGGTTGTGGCTCAGTGATAGAGTGCTCACCTGAGGTGCTGGGTTCAGTCCTCAGCACCACATAAAAACAACTCAAGTGTTTTGTGTCCAACTACAACTAAAAAACAAAACAAAACAGAACAACTTTCTCATTATCTGAGAAGTATATATTTGATGTTTCCTGTTTCTTTTGGATGTCATGGAACAGCAGATGGAAAAATACGCCATTATCTATAATTAGTGATATTACAAATAGCTTTAATAATAATTAAAGAAAAAAATTAAAAATACTTTATAATTCTAGTTTTGCTTTCATATCCTTGCAGATTTATAGTATGACCCTGAGGTTGTCGGCCTTATTTGAAGAAAAAATGAAGAAAATCTCTTCTGATTTTAAAATTGGTCAAAAGTTCAATGAAAAACTTCGACGAAGCCAGAGGTTCAAGCAAAGGCAAAATTCTAATGGTGTCATTCAAGCTAACAAGAGTATCAGGTGAATTAGTTATGAGAAGCTTTGAAGGCAGTTAATTTTTTTAAAAAAATTGTTTATTGGTACCAGGGATTGAACTCAGGGGTGCTTAACCACAGAGATTCATCCCCAACACTCACCCCGCCCCGTTTAAAAAAAAAATTGTTATTATAGGCGTTTGTTGCTATGCCTGGCTGCAATTTATTTTTAATTTAGAGTTGTGATATTTCTTTGACTTAACTATGCTAAAAGAATTAATTTTTAGAGTTCTATATATTCAGAAAGGACTAGTCAAAAATTTTTGTAACTTGAAAGCATGTCTGTGAATATACAGTTGTCACACTGATGTGTAATTGTGTGCATTTTTAAGCATTTAATGAAAATGTGATTTAAAACAATCTTATCAAAGATTATTTAATGTATGGTTGTCTTTTGCATGAGAAATGGCTTTTTAAGATAAAGTGATTGTTACTGCCTTTGAACATTAGATTATATAAGGGAAAATATTTACTGGACATTGCACCTCGTTATTAGGGAGAATTAATTGTAAAGGAATGAAATGGGGTCATATTCTTTTTGTCAGTAATTTTATATTTGGTGTTCTTGGACTAGTGCCTGCATTAAGATCAGATTTCAGGTACTTTAAGCTACTGCAGTATGAAAATTGAGTTGTGCAGTGTTTAGTTTGCTTCCCTGCATTTTTTGAATGCAGTATACCCTTGATGGGATTTCTTTGTGATTGATTTGAGGAATCACTGTACTTCTCAATTCAGAATGATCCTATTTCAAAATAATATTGCTTTTAATCCCAGTACCTATAGAATCTTTGCTCTAATACAGCACTCATCCATCCCTCCTCCCTCCATTGTGCTATTATGGTCATACAAATTACAATTTTATATCACGTTTATGCAGTTTTCTTTTAAGAATAAAATATCATTTCTATTGCTTTTGTAGTAATCCATGTCATTACCCTTCCCACATATGAATGTATAGATTGAAGGACTTTAAAAATTTCTTATAAGGTGGGTGTGCTAGCATTGAATTATCTCAGCCTTCTCATGTCTGGCAGTGTCTCAATTTCACCTTCATTACTGAAGAAAAGTTTTGGTGCATATAGAATTTTTGACATTTTACTCTAAGCATGTTAAAATTTTCATTTCACTGCCTGATGGCCTCTGTTGTTTCTGAAAAACAAGTCAGCTAGTAATCTTACTGAGGTTTTCTCTTCCTGTACATATTGAAATGTTTTTCTCTTCTCACTTTCTTTTTTTTTTTGCTTTAGTATTTATTTGGTATGATAGAATATATTTTGACATATTATGTCAGTATTATCTCTTTGTCTTTATCTTTTTTTAAAATTAATTTCTTAGTTGTAGATGGATACAATATCTTTCTTTATTTATTTTTGTGTTGCGCTGAGTTTTGAACCTAGTGCCTCACGCATGCAAGGCAAGTGATCTACTACTGAGCTACAACCCTGGTCCCTCTTTGTCCTTATCTTTAAACTGATCATGATATGTATAGGTTCAGATTTCTTTGAGTTTCTTGTACTTGGAATTTGTCTAGCTTTGTGGATGTATGTTGTTTTTAATTTAATTGAGGGTTTTCCAGCCAGTATTTCTTTTCGGTACTGCAGATTGAACCCAGATGTCCTTTCCCACTGAGCTATGTCCCCAACCCTTTTTATTTATTTAGAGACAGGGCCTCACTAAGTTGCTTAGGTTATCTTCAAACTTGTGATCCTCCTGCCTTAGCTTCCTGAGTTGCTGGGATTACAGGTGTGTGCCACAGCGCCAGGCTCTGATCAGTATTTCTTTAAGTATATTTTTCTGCCTATTTCTTTTTGCTCCTTTGGTAGTCCTATTACAAATATGCTGGTATCCTGCATGTCTCCAAGGCTCTCTTCATTTTTCTTCTTCTTTTTTCTCTGTTCTTCAGACTGGATAATCTGTAATTATGTGTCTTCAAGGGCACTGATGGCTTCTGCCAGTTCAAATCTGAGTATTTATTTCATTTATTTATTGCACTTTTCAACTCTGGGATTTCCATTTGGTTTGTTTTTATGTTTGTCTCTTCTTTATTCTGTATTTGATGAATCATTGTTACAATTTACTTCTGTAAACATGATTTCCTTTAGTCCTTTGAATATTTTTATAGTAATTGACTTAAATATTAGTATTTGTTAAACTAAGCGATATCTGGGTTGTCTCAGGGTTATTTTCTATTGAATGCTTCCCTTGTGAATGGGCTGTCCTTTCCTGTTTCTTTGAATATCTCATAATTTTTTGTTAAACTGGGCATATCAAATGAGGTTTTTGTTAAACTGGGCATATCAAGTGAGGCAGTTCTGGAAAACTGTTTTTACTGTTGCTGACAGATTATAGTGATGATAGTTTTGCGGTTTTGTTCAGTGACTTGCCTGGACTTATCCTGGAGAGTCTGTCCTCCCTGCAGGACACAGCCACTGAAGTGGTTGCCTGCCCTGCTGTCCCCACTGTTTTGAGATTTTTGTTTTCATTTTTTGAGTTTGTCTTCCTAGGGTCAATGAGCTTAGCTTAGTGGTCAGAAAATTTTCCATATATATTCTGAGGTCCGTGTGCTTAGTGAGAGGGCAAACCTCACAGGTCAGCCAAGGTGGCCTGGCTTTCACTTTCTGTTTATGTTTTTTCAGACTAGAATTTCAAGAGCAGTCAACATGAGTAAATAAACTGGGGTTATTGGATATGTTATTCTTCCAGGTCCTATTGGGGAATGAGGGAGCTTTTTAAAGACTCTTCTGCATCTCATTCTCTAGATCTTCCTTTTATTTTTACTTTTCTGTAGTGCTGGGGAGGGAACCCAGGGCCTCTTATGCTGGCAAGCAGCTGTTCTTAGATCTCCCCTTTGTATGTGGCTGAATTCTTGCTGGCTTCTACATTGTCACAGCCTAAGGCAGAGTGCTATTGTCCCTGCGGATTGTCCTTAGTCCTGAGTGTTTTCAGTGTCCTCAGGTGTATGGCTGTTTTGTAGAGACACCAGATCAGACCAGTGCCTTTCTTACTGGTCCTCATAGCCATCATCCCCAGAGAATTGGAGTGTGTTTGTCTTTTTGTCTGGGAGCAGCCCCAAGTTGGTGCTGCAGATCCCCATGCTCTCATCTAAATTCAGGATTTTTTGTGAGCATGTGCTTTGTTTTATGCCTTCACTTAATTTCCTGAGCCTGAAATGGTTGATAGTTCAGCCATTTATGAAATTTTATTTTCGTGAGAATTGTTAAATATTTTTGATTTAATATTACACACAAACCACATTAAAATGCCTTTCCATAAGGAAATACAGCATTTAAATACAGGGAAGTCTAATTAAATTGGCATGGTAACATAACCAAATTATAAAGTAGACCCTGCTTCCTTCAGCCATTGCCTTTAGTAGGTTAATAAACACAAATTGAAACACATGTGAACCTTGCTTGGTTTTGAGATAGTGAAGGTATGTCCCACAAAACATATTCATATAATGTTACATAAACCTAAATATAAAATCAGTTTTGAGATGACATTCACCATCTTTGTAGAATATTGACCATTACTAATGAAGTCCAATTATAAATTTTAAAAAGGGGAAAAACATTTATAGAACTTAATGAACTGGGATTATAACCAAAATATTATTTTAACTATGTCAGTTTTACTTAAGGCAGGACTGTCCAACAGAAATATTCTGTCATTCATGATCTGAATTCTGATGTATCACATCAATTAAATGGTGCATACAAACAAGGTATGAGATTTATGTGGTAATAAATAAGGCAGTGGCCATTATTCATTAGTAGCTATTTTGAGGTGTGCTATGAAGTTTGCCCTTTCCCACTTCTTAATGCCATTGAAGATCATTTTTGTTTCAGGGATGTACTTTTTGGGATTCTCCAAATACTCTATCAGTGTATCCTCTTGCCAGGTGCTGCCTTTGTTTTGTTGGCATCTGTGTAAGAGAATCCAGCAGCCTTGACCTGTCTTCCACCCAGATAATCCATGGAGATTTGGCCAGTCTTGTGCTTGCCTCCTTTTCCACAGTGTGGCATTGAGCACACTTTGGAACAAAACTCTTATTGTCTTTCTCCACATTACCCATTTAAAAAAAAAATCTTTATTTTTATTTATTTACTTTTATGTGGTGCGGAGGATCAAACCCAGGTCTTCATGCATGAGAGGTAAGCACTCTACCACTGAGCCACAACCCCAGCCCCTCATTACCCATTTTTAATTCATTCTTTTTTCACTATGCAATGAAGGTTCATGTTCAGAAGTTAAGATATCCCACTCTCAGCCATTTTATTTTTACTTTTTGAGTGAGAGGATTTGGTGACATAAACGGTGACCCTCCATGCTTCAAATTACAGAACACATTGGGACACATACACATGCCCACTAGGTAAATGACTCAGTTCTTGTTCAGCTGCTTTGCAACTTGTAATTCATAACACACATTCTATCTGGAGTACCATGTGAATCTTCACTCATCTGTTTTTTTTTTTTTTTTAATTTAAACTTTTCATTTTGAAATAATTACAGAATTATAGAGAAATTGCATGAATAATTCAAAGAGGTTCTATATATTCCTAGACTCACCAGTTCACATTATGCCACATTTGCTTTATTTTTGGTTTAATACAGTTGTGCTTTGCTTGACTATAGGATCCATTCTGAGAAACGCATCATCGGATGATTTTTGTCATTTTACAGTGTGCTTACACAGACTAAGATGGTCGTGACAGCGTTTAGGTAATACGGGATCACCATTGTGTATGTGACCCATTGTGGACTAGAATGTCATTGTGCAGTGCTGTATTTTCTCTATTATGTATGTGTATTTTTTCTTTTGAATCATTAAAAAAAATACTTTTTAACATATTCCTTTACCTGTTAGTACTTACTGTGTATTTGCTAAGAATTACATTTAAAATACTTCATCTTCCTACAGTTGACTCAATAATGTCATTAGGGCAGTCACCCCTCGATCCCATTCCACTCCAGGTCCACTCCAAGAGCATGCATCACATTTAGGTGCTGTATGTGTTTGGTGTGTTTTAGTCTGGATTATTGTTTTCAGTCATTTCTTTATTTTCTTGATAGGTATTTGTGAAGAGTCATCCATTTATAAAGTGAATCTCAATTTGGATTTGATTGTTTTGTACATATTTTTAATATTTTTGTTTTCATTGAAAAAGCCTCTTCTGATTTTTCTACACTAAAGAAAGGTTCAGAAGGATGTAAGATCAAACAGGGAAAGCAAACTTTTACTCTTGGAGGCATTACTACTTTGTCTTAGATTTTTTGTTAAGTTTTAGTTAGGGCCTGGTGATATAGCTCAGTTGGTAGAGTGCTTGCCTTGCACACACAAGGTTCTGGGTTCAATCCCCAGCACCGCGCGCGTGTGCGCACACACACACACACAAACGGTGGGCATGGTGATGCATACTTGTAATTCTAATGACTTTGGGAAACTGAAGCAATAGAATTGCAAGTTTGAGGCCAGCCTCAGCAATTTAGCAAGGCCTCAGCAACTTGGCAACATTGCTCTTAAATAAAAAGTAAGAGCGCTGTGCACAGCTCAGTAGTTAAACACCACTGTGTTTAATCCTCAATACCAAACAAAACATAGGCTTATAATGTCTTTATTATCATATAAATGGTGCTTTAAAGAATTGAAAGGGCTGGAGTTGTGACTCAGTGATAGAGCACTTGCCCAGCATTTGTGAGGCACTGGGTTCGATTCTCAACACTGCACACAAATAAATGAACAAATAAAGGTCTAACAACATCTAAAGTTAAAGTGATTATCTATAAGTTCACCTATTTAGATTTTTCCTTAGAAGATTGTTTTGTTTTAAAGAAAATAAGACTATCTGAACATGAATATTACTCAGTTTTGTAACTTGTCTTAAACTTTACTCTTCCCCATGATTCATGGCCTAGGAGGCAGTCTGGTGAACCGGTGCTCAGGTTGGAAACAGATTTGTCTTGGAAATAAAAACACAGCTTGGTCTGATCTTTTATTTTTTATTTTTTCCATCTATTTGGATTTGGTTAGCTTCTGCTCTTCTTTTATATGGTCCTTAGGAACATGTGATAAGACAGAAGGTTGTGTCTTGTTTTTAGGCTCTATTTCATAGTTATAGACAGGTGCAACGATGCACCCCTATAGTTTCCAGAGATTTGGGAGGCTGAGGCAGGAGGAACTCAATTTAGCAAGACCCTCTTTCAAAATAAAAAGGGCTGGGGAAGTAACTTAGTGGGAGAGTGCCCCTGGGTTCAATCCCCAGTGCTGCCACAAATACAAAACGGGATTTATAGTATAAATGAATGCCTGTTGTTACGTAAATGTTGGTATGTGTGAGCATTTTATCCAAATAACTTAAGGTATTCATTATATAACTGTTACTTGGATCATTTGTTCATTGCTACTCATTTAAATACAACTTGTCAGAGTAAGGACATAATAATATAATTCATGCCAGAATAAGATGTTAGTAGTAAACATTTTAATATCTTGATCATAAAATTATTTTCAGATTAACAAATAATATACTTTTATATTTATAAATACATTTTTTGAACCAGTTACCTTTATGATTTATTAATATTACTTCTTTTCTTTGTATCTTTCACCAGAAATGTCAAGCGGAAGCAGTTAAAGTCTCAGACAAAAGTAATTCCGGAGTTGGTAGGTTCTCCTGCCCAGTCTACCTCAAGTAGGGCAGCTTACTCTGCAGCTCACAAGGCAAGTGCTGGCGTATCTTCAGGTCTCACTTCTGGAGACTCTTCAGATTCAGCAGGATCATCGGAAAGAATGAGGAGAAGTAGACCTATATCTCTAAGAAACGATTCTGTGCTATCTGGTAAGAAACAAAACATCACATTGTTTCCTGCTGATCATCCTAGGTAACATTGCCAGTCACTGCAGGTTTAGAGGAGAGTGTAATGAAAGCATGATCCTGAAACTGAAGGTACTTAACAGTTTAGTAGTCGAAACAGAAGTAATAAATGGAATAGTTTTGCAAATGATGCAGCAACATTTTATGCAAATTTGAATCCTCCAAATTTTAAATATTACAGTATAAATATTTACACTTTGTGTTCAGAATTTGACTTTACCATTGAGCCATATCTCCAGCACTTTTGATATTTTATTTAGAGACAGGGTCTCGATAAATTGTTGAGAGTGGCTTTGAATTCAGGATCCTCCTGCCTCAGCCTCCCAAGCTGCTAGGATTACAGGCTTGTGCCTTTGCACCTGGCCCCCAGATTGACATATTTGTGTCTTTAATTAAAAAAAAAACAAAAACAAAAAACAAACTTGTTGGTAATCATGCAGTTGCAAAGCTGGCCTAGTAAATTTTAACCTTTATGCCATTGCCATTTGTTAGCCGTAACTATAACTAATGCCAGTGCTTTAGTAGCATTGTGTAAAGACCAAGTGAGTCGTGTGTTTTCTCTTGTATGTGGAAACTAAAGAGGAAAAGGGAAAAGAAAGGTCTGTGTGGGATAATCTCATGAAAATCAAAGGGAGACCAGTAGATGAAGGATAGGAAAGGGGAAATACTTCAGTATGATATTTGCCAAATTATATTATTGTGTGCATGTATGAATATGTACAACAAATCTCACCATTATACAATTATTATAGTGTGCCAAATAAAAAATATGGGGAAAAAGAGCAATGTGTAAATGAGGTAGGTTGTGGTGTTCATGTCCTTTTGTGTTGTAGTGGGTGATTGTGGTGAATTATGATACCATTATAATTTAATGCTTTTTGTGTGTGTTATTATCCAATATTTCATTAAGTGGTATTGAAAAAATTATAGCTACAGATAAAATTTTGGAATGAAAGTGAGCTGTGGTAAAATTCTATGGATTAACAAACTTGGCAGTGATATTTGGGGAGGAGGTCAGGTAAACAAGCTGATGTATACCATGTGTATCTACACAGTATCTTAAGGGATACATACATACATTGTATATGTGTGTGTGTGTGTATCTTAAGGGATACACATATATATGTATTTTAAGGGATTATATATGTGTGTGTGTGTATATATATATATATAATTTTTTTTTTTTTTGGTACTGGGGATTGAACTTAGGGGCACTTGACCACTGAGCCACATCCCCAGCCCTTTTTTGTATTTTATTTAGAGACAGGGTCTCACTGAGTTGCTTAATGCCTTGCTTTTTGCTGAGACTGGCTTTGAACTCATGATCCTCCTGCCTCCTCCTCCCGAGCCGCTGGGATTACAGGTGTGCGCCATGGCACCGGCTTTACTGGATACATTTAGATAACAGTGTTCAATCAGAGTGTGCTGGGTTAACTGAGAATGGGACGAAGAATAAGGGTACGCTTTTCAATCAGAGAGCAGTTAGGAGGAAAACGTCGGGAAAAGAGGAGGCAGTTTGCACACGAACAGACTACATTTTGGGAAATAGTAGAAAGTAGAACTAAATAGGTGGGATGCACACACGTTATAGATACTTCAGTTCTTACTCATTGGATCCCTTGTAAGTGAGGAATTCCAGGAAGATTCCCAGTTTGGAAAGGGCAAGAGTCTGGAAATAGGAGGCAGATGGTGTTGGTGGAGCTGAGGAGAAACAGCAGTTTCACAATTTAGTGACTGATATCCTTCTGACAGCCACTTTCTTCTCTGAAATAGAGTTGGACTAATTATGGACCAAAACACTCTTTTTTAACCATGTGTTTCTGCTAATTGATGAAATGTTTATTTCATTAAAGAAATGAGTGGCAGAAGGAACAGGAAATTGGGGGTTTCTGTCTTGTGCTCACACTGGTTGTATACTTAATGAAGTAGACTAGTGGCAAAAACTGCCCATGCTGCCTAAAGTATTTCTTTATCTTGATCCCTACCTTGTGTTGAGCATATAAAAACCACCTTTTTGGATCTGAGAGATGTGTGGTGCAGCCATGTTGTCAGGAAGGGTTGTTAGAACGTAAAATTATACTTTCTTTTAAAACTCTTCATAAAGGTACTACAGAAAGAAGTACTAATTAGGCTATTAAATTAAATTTTGTTTATAAGTCTTATGAAGAAATTTCTTAAATTAGTACAATTAGTATTGTCTTTTAGAAATACAAGTCCAGACTTGACTTGGATATTGATTTTTTTTATTTTTATTTTTATTTTTTTTAGTTGTAGCTGGACACAGTACCTTTATTTTATTTATTTATTTTTATGTGATGCTGAGGATAGAACCCAGCAGCTTGGTTGTGGTAGGCGAGCACTCTATTGTGAGCCACAACCCCAGCCCTGGATACTGATTTTTAAGAACTGTTTAAAAAGAAATTTAAAAAAAATATATTTTTTAGCTGTCATGGGACCTTTATTTATGTAGTGCTTTTATTTATATGTTGCTGAGAATCAAACTCGGTGCTATCAAGAATTTTATCAGCTTTTCTTTGAAATAGTTCTTAAAATATATTGAGTTTTTAGTAATGTTAGGAAATAATGGTTGGCTTATATGTGTATGAAGAGAATATACGTAATTAATGATTTACACTTTGTTTTCTTAGAAAGTGAAATGGAAGATTCCTTAGCTACCTCTTCATCCTCTTCAGCTTCAAATAGTTCAGAGGAAAGCAAAGAGAGTTCAAGAGCTCGTGAATCCTCCTTGCGTAGTGGATTGTCCAGAGGCAGCAATCTCAGGGTGACCAGAAATAGAGCTGCTCAGAGAAAATCTGGTAAGAGATTTACCACATTTGCACAGTGGATGCATTATTGATTATTTAATTCACCTGCTTGTAAATGTCCATTGGGTTTTTTGGATTTGGAAAGGAAATCAACTTTGGCATTTAAAAAAAAAAAAAACCAAAAAAACAAAACAAGGAAAATCACTGAAATAATAGTCACTTAAAAATGTTGAAATATGAAAACCCTTTCTAATGTTGTTATTGATTTATTTCTAGGTCCTGTTTATTTAGAAAATGGATGTGGCAGAAAAGCCACTCGAAAGAGAGTTTATTTGAGTGATTCTGATAACAATTCATTAGAGACCAGTGAAATTCTTAAAGCGAGAGCTGGAAGTAACCGAAAAGTCCTACGGAAGTGTGCTGCTGTGGCTGCCAATAAGATAAAGCTAATGAGTGACGTAGAAGAAAACTCTAGTTCTGAAAGTGTGTGCTCTGGTCGGAAGCTGCCTCACCGCAATGCTTCTGCTGTAGCTAGAAAAAAGTTATTGCATAATTCTGATGATGATCAGAGCCTCAAGTCAGAAATTGAAGAGGAGGACCTAAAAGATCAAGAACAGCCATTACAAGCAACCAGTTCTCATGCTGCCCAGAACACTGTCAATGACTCTGAAAATGGAGATTCAGAATCAGAAAGTGACTTGCGGGTAGCCCGGAAAAATTGGCACGCTAATGGTTATAAGTCCTATACTCTAGCGACTTCTAAAACAAAATTTCTTAAAATAGAGTCTTCTGAGGAAGATTCTAAAAGTCATGATTCAGATGATGGACATAACAGAACTGCTTGCCCTTTAGAGTGTGGGCGGAAACTTCAGGCAGAGAGTATCTCAGAGGAAGCCGACTCTGAACCAGGAAACAATACATTTCGCAAGAATGCAAATTTCTTTAAGAAAGCAAAGATTTTAAGTGATTCCGAAGACTCAGAATCTGAAGAAAAAGATAGGGAAGATGGCAGATGTCACAAAATGGAAATGAGTTCAGTTTCAGGAAACTTGAAGTGTGAACCTCTTGGTGTGCCTCAGTGTTTGTCCGATCATGTATCTGAAACTGATTTAGATTCCGATGATGACAAAGTAAAGGAAAAGGCAAACACTGTCATGAATGGTAATTAAGAACATTTTTTTGGTTCACTGATTTAATTCAGTTTTCATTCCGTGTTAGATTTCTCAATTATTTTTCTCTTGAAACTTCTCTGTTGATCTTTTACAGTCTCATGTGTGTGCGCAGTTGTTTTGCATACCTATTAAGATTTCACCGTTGCTGTTGATGATGGGATATTGTGGAAAAGGGCTTGAGAATATACACATGATAGCTTTTGAGAAAATCAGAAGCTATCCTGTATATAAGCCATGGTAGGGACAGCTTCAGAGGAGGAAGAAAAGGAGTAGGACTGGTTGAACTGTTAAGTAGTAATGATTGCAACTAACAGAAAGTTACTGGGTTTTTCTATCAGGTTTTCCTAAGAACTTCTCAATATTAAACTAAAAAATGTTTAGCACTTCTATCTTTTATGAGGTAGGTACTATTATCATTGTCCATTTTATAGATAATAACTGCGATAGTAGCACAATGACTGTTGAATATAAAGATCATACTCCTAGAGAATGGGGATTGATAAAGTAAAAACAGAAGACAGCTGAAGCTAAGGTTAAGGTAGTAGGATTGAAACCTGTGTAGTGTTCACAGGAGTTTAGTCTGTATTAGTCTGCACTGCAGTTTCAAGGTCATGGGATTTGCTGTGTTTGTGAATGGGCTGAGCCTGAAAAAGTCACTTTAAAGTATTAAGATTTATGGGCCATTCCTTTCACTGACACTCCCATCCAAGTTAATAAGAATGCTGGATTTGTTTCAAATATTAGAATTGTTCACTCTTACTAAGATTAAATGAATACTCTTTTAATTTTTAGATTCAGCACCACAAGACAGTGGGCAAAGCAGAAAAGTTTCCAGGAAAAGGGTCTGCTCCAGTGATTCGGAGACCAACTCAAGGGAGATTAAGAAGTCATCCAGAGCCCGAACAGATTCTCTGAGGATCACCCGAAGTACTTCGGCTATGGCTACCAGTACTGTCAGGCTCAGGGGTAATGTAGAAAATATCAGTTCAGAAAGTGTATGCACCAGAAGCAAACGGGGAAGGAAACAACCCTCTCGTCCAGCTTGTACCACAGCTAGGAAGATACTGAGTGATTGTGAGGAAGATGTACACTGTGAAGTGCCAAATGAGCAGTGTGCTTGTGACGGTGAGCCATCTGAACCTGATGCAGAAAGGAGTGCAGGAAACTTTAGTCGGTCTTTAAATGGAGACTCGGACTCTGAAGGCATTTGGAATTCAGAACACAACAGTCATATCAATAATCACAACACAAATGTACCTTCTAAGACAAAGAATTCCTCTGTTGGGTCTTCAGAAGAGGATTCAAAAAACCACGTTCCAGGGAGTGAGAACAGTAGAAAATTTTCTTCTGAGTCAACTTTTGTGCAAAAAGCAACCACAGAAAGTAATTTTGAAGAAGAATTGAATTATGGGCTACGCAGATGGAATGGCAGAAGACTCAGAACATATGGAAAGGCACCTTTCAGTAAGACGAAAGTGATTCGTGATTCACAAGCAACAGCAGAGACAGAAATAAAAAGGAAGAGACTGCATCCTGAACTGGAAAATGTGAAAAGAGTTGAAGCAACTGGGAGTACAAAGTGCAGACCTGACACCAGTCCCAAATCGACAGATCTGGGATCTCTAACGGAATCAGATGTTGACTGTAGTGATAATACAAAAACCAAAAGGAGGAAAGCGAAAGGAAAAGCAAAAGTAGTTAGAAAAGGTAAAACTTTTACAACTAACGTATCTAAAACCGTAAGACGGCAAAGACAAAGCAAACGCCCTAGGTTAAATGTGGATGATAATGACTGGGAGGATTTGGACTATGCAAAATCTAAAAGAGTTCTTCGACGTTCAAAAATAAAAACGAGAAATCAGGGTAGAAGGACCGTGAGATACCACGATGGGGATGATGATAAAAGCTTAGAAAATGTGTTAGAGTACAATGATCGCACCTTATGACCTTGAGGGAGAGCCAGTTCATTTAAGGAGGAAATGGACTGGAATTGATGGTGAAAGCTGGCTGTTGAAATTATTTTTGTCTTACAATTCAGGGAATATATTTATATTTTTCTATGAAAAGTTATGAATGTGACTAAATCATGACTGTTATTTTTGTTTGCACTTGCTGGTCTTTGTAGCAGCATTTAGCACAGGTGCCAAAATATGCTTCATTTTGGGGGCAGATCTACTTTGACAGTATTTGACTACATATAGCAAGAGTTTGAAATATGTTAAACACTAGACGTCCTGGTTATCAAAACCGATGAGCATTACTTTCATGGTAGCAAGTGTCAATGCAATTATTTTCTGAATTTGTCCAGAGGTGGTAGTTTCTATTCCCTGTCCTATAGTAGAGAACAATTTCACATGACCTATGTTTACAGATTCTTCGTAAATATTATGTGCATACTGACATTATAATCATGGAAAGTGTAACCATGATTAGTAGGCAAGGTACCTACCACCGCCACCGCCCCCCCCCCCCTCTCGCTTTCTCTGGCTACTTGAGTAGAATGCATTATACCAGATTTGGTCATTTTCATTGAAATGGTTTCCAGTTTTCTTTTTAAATTCTTTTGGGTCTTTTTTTCTTTTTAAGGAAAGTATAATCACTTTTATTTTATAAACTTGAATTTATAAAGTGCTGGTAAATTATTTTTTAATGTTTTGAGTGCATATTTTAAACCTCTAAGGCCAGAGCATAGTCATTACATTTTCTTTTAAATTGTGCACTAACAAAATGTTATGTAATTTGTCTTCTGTTGGTTTCCATCGTAAGGGATTTAACCAAAATCTTGCTCTTCCATAATCTTACTCTGAAATAGAGGAGTTTGTGTGCCTTAGATTTAGGGAAAGTATGTTCTTTAGCAATGTACAGAGCTGAAAGAGTATTTAAGTTCTATGGAGATTTCCCCATCTATATTAAAATTTTAGAGCTGAGTTTTGCTGAGTGCTGTTGCAGATGGTGTCTGTGTAAGAACAGAAGTGCTGTTCTCCAGCTCTGTTGTAGCTGACTGCTGTTAGGTGCCACCCTGTGGGTTCTTCTCTGGAGCAACTAAGTCTGTATAGTGACCTCTAGTCTACATATAAGAAACTGTCATGTTTTGTGAGAAAATGATTTTTGAATGCATTTAAAGTTGAAACTTTATCACATCATCCCAGATACCATAGTACACTTATTTTCAAGCCAAATACTTTTACTTGATAGGTTATGCTACTCCAGACAGTGTAAGCAACCATTCCTAGAGTGTTTGTGCCTGAAATGGTTTACATTTTTAGTAGTTAAAAGGTCTGTTACAGTATTGTACCTTTTAAATGACTTATTGGCACTAATTGTGTTTGGTTTTAGACAAAATTAATCCTCTTTTTCTATGTTTCCTTGAGGTGGCAGACAGGAAAAATATCTGACTCTGGTATCAATATTAGAGAATGTTCTTAAAGTGTTCCTAATTCTTAGTTGTCCTATTCCATTTGACATAGTAGGAGGTATTTTTCTTTCTAATCTGATGCAAGGGAAGGATGATTTTGGACATTATATATATTTGTCCTATAGTAGAGAACATTTGCCTCTCATTTGGTTTAGAGACCTCTGTCACCAAAAGGATAATACTTTTCTTCAGAGCTCCTGTTAACTGTGCAGGAGAAGACAGGATGATTTTCTTTGTTGACCTGAAAAAAGTAGTGGGATGCCATTTGTATCCCTAACTTTAAGAACTGGTGATAGTCATCAGATCCATTCATTTATTTAAACTCTTCCAAAGCTTCTCTGTTTTATATCTGTTCTCAGGGTTATAACTCCATGTTTACCATCATCTGCAAAAGGGTACCAAAAGATCCATAAATAAATATGAAATATTCATATGTACATAAATTCTTTTGTCACAACAATACATTGACAGTTTCAGCATCATTAATAGAACTGTTTTTGTTCTTTGAATTAACTGATCATTCAATGGCTGGTCAGTTAAAGTAATTTTTCTTTTTGGCCAAAATGGTTAGACCCGTGGGTATAGATTTAGTATTTTGGTTTAATAGTATTTTGTTTTATCAGAAAAGGCAGAATGATACCTGGTGACTTTAAAAGGGAGGTTGACAATGGTGGCTTCTCAACTTCTGAAGTAAATCCAAGGGCTTAAGGAGAAAAGCGTTCTTACGGGGTGTTTGGTTATGGTGCTATTCCTAAGGTTAACTTTAAATACGTAACACACTCCTAAGTACCTTTAAGGAAAATTAATAAATAATAGTTAAAATGTTTACATTGAGCACTAGAACATGTTTGACTTTTTTCTACTTTATGCAGAATGCGCAGGGACTTAATGCACAGATGTACTTTAATGTTTAGGATTGGTCTTTATTTCTCTTGAGGAAGAGACAAAGGTGACAGCGAATGTGAACTGGTCCAGGAAGAAGTGCTGTAGCTTTCCATTATTGCACTTGAAGTAATTTGATGGTGTATGTGAAAAAATAACTTAAAAATCTGGTTGTGTATGTCCAAAGGCCTATACGATTTTATTCATTTATGGATTTTTTTTAAAAAAAGGGTTTTGAAGTATTCAGGTTTGGTTTTTACTTCATTTGAAAGATTAATTATACCAAGCATATTAAGAAAAAAAAGATTGCAAACATTTAAAGGTGAGGTTTAAAGGTGTTCCCCCCCATATTCTACTTATTTCAAAAGGGCGTGTTGACAATGTGTAGTAACTTATGAATAAAAGGAAAATTTATCCCGTTTTCAGATAATTCCCAGGGTGGTCGTTCTATTTTTTTTTTTTTTGTATAAGTGAAAAATCTCTTATTAAATCTTTTGTTTAATGTAGTAATCCTCAGCATGATATTACAGTTATTTCACAAGATGACAAATTATGACAAATATATTTTCCAAATAGTAGAGAGTTGTACCTAAAAAAGGAAATTGGTTTTTAATAAGAAAATGGAGGAAAAGACTTAGTTTTAGGGAAAACAAACTTGAAAACCTACAAGCACAAATGGGAAAAGGGGTTATGAAACAAACCAATGAAAATACTGAGGGCAGCACTGTCCAGACATTAAGTGTACCACAAAGCCCTCTAGACTTGGTGACATTTCACCTAGGATAACACTGGGTGCACACAACATTCCTGGTCCCTCTTCTAGCTTTTATTTTCTCTCTAGAATAATTAGAACACTGTTTATTAACTCTACTGGTATTGAAAACTCTTAGGATTTTAATATCTTTTGTCAGTATAAGTTGAATTTGTGTCAACTGAAAAAAAGTAGATGTTTATTAGGAGAATGCAAAAGCATTGTTAAAGGTACTTGCAACATTTTTGTTTTCCTTTCTACTCCACTGTTTTTTTTTTTCCAAGTGACTTTTTTGAATGGCTAGAAAATGGTCTTTTTGCTTTGCCCTTTTATAACAAATAACAAGCTCCATACTTCCCATCAATAGTTGGTATACTTTTCAAATTTTTGTATAGAAATTACAGTTCAATTATTCTAGTATGATGGAGCACAACAACATTGTGGAATAACTTGCTAATTATTATTTAAACTATGCTGCTAAACTGCTGTTGGATATCAGGAAATAATAAAGCAGAAACCCTTTGAGTTTAAAAGTCTGTCTCTTATCTTAGTATTGGAGAATTTAAGGACCAAACCAAATAAACTGTCAAGACTAGGGAGAAAATGGAGCAATCTGAAACAAATGTAGAATCCAACTAGATTAGTAAATATTAATCCTACTTGTAGCTCAAATTGTGAATTAGGACTGAAGAGTAAAGAATATAATGGTGAGGGCTCTGTTGTCTTCTCATATTTTAAGAAATTTAAAGCTCTTGCAAATGCTGCTTAAGGATACAAGGGTATTCTCAAAATGGAGACTTTTACTAGGCTCATAATCTACAAGCTGTTTTCTAATATATTGTCAACCTGGTATCAAAATATCAAGATTCATAATTGGTGTCTTTTCAAGGATTGTTTTTCTGGATTTGATGGTGGGTTGCGGGGAGGCAAAATATTTGGATCCTACAAATCTGCATCATTGTCTTTAAGCATGTAAGTAACCATAGACTACTTCTTTCTCAAGTATGACAAGACTGGTAGTTCATTGAACTTATTTACCAGTGCTTCAGTATACTTCCCGGTCATACTTTAAATTTTAATTTTAAGGTAAGCTGTATCATTTATTAAAACTTTTATATGGTAATCCATACTGCCAAAGGAAGAGTTAATATCATGGACTAAAGCAGCCTTATACTTTGGTTCCTTATACTTTTGGTACTTATAAATGGTTTAGAAATTACCTTTTCTGATCAGTGATTAAAAGTTGAAAGGATCTTTGATTTTTTTTTTTTTTTTTTAAAGTATGTTCTAAGTATGGATCAGTGCTTGGGCTGCACCAACTCAGTTTACCTGAAAAACCCACTCCCACCCCCCTGTACTGAGGATTGAACCTAACAGTGTTTTACCAAATGTACACCTCCAGGGCACCATCCTCTCCTCCTTTCCTTTTTGAGATAGAGCCTTGCTCATTTCCTCTGGCTGGCCTGGAACTTGGTTGGGTTCCTCCAAGTTGAGCCTCCCCAGGCTCTGGGATTACAGGTGTGTGCCACTGTGCCTGGCTTCACCTGCAGAATTTGACCCATTTTATTATAAAAGCCTATTGAAAAAGCAAATCTTCAATTTTCACTCATAAGATTGTAGTGTTCTAAAGTAATCCATCTAAAGCAATTCATTCTAAAGTCATTGAATTTTTAGTTGACCACTAAAATGGTAAAAAGCATAACAAATGTAGCTGCCATAGTAACAAAACGGGTAGATTTTATTTTTTTTAATCCTCTCCAAGCCAAGTGGGTCTGCAGATAGTGTAGTCAATTTTCCCTGAAGCTTATGTTTGCCTTTCGTACTAAGTTGTGCCCCAATTTTGTCCACGGGTGATTTTGTCTTGTTAATGCAGATAAAACACACCTGCAAATTGTAGGTTTCAGCCAAGGGAACTTGAGGGGAGTGAGGAACCATGCTTGAGAGGAATTTGGTGTGGGCTTGTTTGCAACCCTGCTGCTTTGCTTTAGGAAGTGACGTGGACTGAACACAGTTATTTACTTTTTGATAGTTTCTCCTGCCTACATGTAGTTTGAAATATTGAGATATTCTAAAAAGTTAAGCAGGTAAATATAAGGCACCTGAACATAAAGTTTAAAAGATTTAGATGATAGTTACAGTTACAGTAGCCACCACAAATCTTATGGGAGTCATGACTAGTGTTGACCAATTAACTATTTCTGAGTAACGAGAGAAAACTGCTTTGTGATGTGCTATAATTATCCGTGATGAGGTGAGTAAAGTTGAAGGTTGTGTGGTACCTGTGCCCCCATTGAGTGAATTGCACGCTAACAGTGACTAAACTGGTAAGGAACCATTCGGATTAACAGAATTATTTCTGAGCCTGGACCTGACACTGCCATAATGTAGAAGTTAATATTGCAGTATTAAACCGTCTCCTAGGAAACAAATTGTTTGAAAACACTTGCTTCCACAACCATTGTCTAAAAGACTTGAGTTTACGGCATCCTTTGGAAACTTGTGTTATGGAAAGGATGAAGGTCATTGGTAAATGCTATTTGCCTTTGAGTTTTGGGTAATTTCATTGCTTTACAAATAGAGGGCAAAGAAGAAAGCACACTTCCAGCTGGTTCTGATACAAGGCTGGCTTGGGGGAAACCGTGATTGGAACTGAAAGGTTTACCATTGTTTTGCTTTGAGAATGTCAGTGCTGTGGAAAAGTATATTTGGAAATAGGCGAGTATAGTTTTGAGTCGGGCATTTTTTTTAAACCCCCGCTTTTCACCCTCAAATTTGTTTTAAATGTTCCAATTAGAAAATGCTGATCGGGCAGGGCATGTTGGTGCATACCTGTAATCCTAGCTACTTGAGAGGCTGGGGAAGGAAGATGCCAAATTCAAGGCCAACCTGAGCAACCTTGTGAGTCTCTGTCTCAAAATAATTAAAAGGCCTGGGGATGTGGCTCAGTGGTTGAGCATCCTTGGGTTCAGTTTCATCCTTGGGTTGCAGTAACAGAGAAACCCAACCAAAACAAAACTCCGAATAAACATTTTAAATGTTTCTTTAGTAATCTTTGAACACTCACTTTGGGCTTATGAAAACAATTTTATCTGATTAAACATAATTGGAACATAAATATTTAAAATGTGGAAACTAAGGTTAATGTTTTGAATCAGACTGTCAGGTCTATCTCCATTTCATCACAGGACCATCTTAGAACACAAGGCTGAGCATTGTCACTTAGAAAGGAGTGTCCTGGTAAAACATAGATCCTTCTGCAGACGCTGTTCACAGTACTACTGTGCTTTGGCCCTCCCCAGACAGGAAGCCATGATTAGGAGAACAGCAAGATCTCAGGCACTCAAGACAGTCCTGACGTGGGACTGACAGGAAAACACAGGCAGCAGGACCTGTCGTACTGCCTTGTGCCAGATGACACTGCTACAAATGGGGTGGGTGTTCAAGCAGCATCCTCAGAAGTCTTTAAGCTTGTACCCTGGGCTGAGGATATAGCTCAGTTGGTAGAGTGCTTGCCTCACATGTACAAGGCTCTGGGTTCAATCCCCAGCACAATCACCAAAAAAAAAAAAAAAAAATTGCTTGTATCCTAACACAAATGTGACTTCTCTTTAGCCTACATTATTCTGTATATATTTCTAAAAATATTTTTCTCAAGGAGAATAAAGCACTTTATTCTCAGTAATAGAATTAACACAAGTATATTTCGGGGAAAAATTCCTCACATGGTTACTTTTCTGTCTCATGTTTTTATTATTTCATGAAACTCCCATTTTATCATCTCAGTCTTTAGAGCTACAACTTTATCAAATTGTAGTTGGTTTATACAATAGAATTCATACCTTATATACCCTTTGGCATAGTTTTTCATTTCAAGTTCAAATTTCCTTCAAGTATTTTTTTTAAAACTAATTTTAGCTTTTCCTTGAAGAATCTAAATTTTTCACTTTTGTGGATATGAAATAAACATTAAAGTAATTAGCATTTATCATGTTCCTAAATTGTCAGTATAGATGTTTCATCACCCGTCAAAAAAGAAAGCAAGTCGGGAGCGTGGTGCAGATCTGCAATCCCAGAGGCTCACGAAGCTGAGGCAGGAGGATCACAAATTCAAAGCCCACTTCAGTGAGGCCCTAAGCAACTTAGGGAGGCCCTGTCTCTAAAGTTTAAAAAAGGGGTGGGAGTGTCTGGGGATGTGGCTCAGTGGTTAAGTGCCCTTGGGTTCAATTCCTGGTACCAAATTTTTTTTTTTTTTAAACAGGATTTTATGCTATTTAACTGAATATATTGTTGGGAATGAACCAATAAGCCAGTTGTCAACATGCAAATGGGTGCAGGTAGTTGAGTGACATTAGTACATCTTTATCCTGTTAAACTACACATTTCACCTGAATTTTGCTATACATATTTTAAACCTTTTATGGCCCGTTTACATTATAGCATTTAACTGATGCTTACGTTAAGAATTCATTTTGAATATAGGGTTGATTTACTGGAATAACAACAGTTCATAATCTAGACATTTCTAAAAGTTGCTCAAAGGTTGAAAACACTGCACTTTATTTTCCTGCAGAGTCACCTAGAGGCGGTGAGAATGGCATGCTTGTTCAGAGAATGTCGACTACCTGCTAACAGGCCATTTAGGTGCCTGGGGCCTTACACTGAACAAAACATGCTGTCTTTAAAAATGAAATTACACTGAAAAAGCATGAGAACCACTCATTTCATGAGTAAAAGGGATGAGTGAGTGTGTGTGTGTGTGTGTGTGTGTGTGTGTCTGTCTGTCTGTCTCAAGGTTGCTGTGAGTGAAATATCTCTAAACCCAATGTGGGAGAACTCCTCAGGGTCTTAGAGAAAGCACAATAGTAAGACCCATTTCACACACAGTAAATGGAAGCATTTTTGCTGTAAGGGCAAAGGGCCTGTTCCTCATGATGTTTGCTATGGGAACATGGCAATTCAGAGCAAAAGATTTTACCTGTACTCATCTGCCCTTTCTTCAGCTTGTTGACATGAGGGCAAACGTCTCCATAAGAGGAAAAACTAAGGAAGTTGGTAGGTAGTATTCACTTCTACAGAATAATAGTGTTACTTGATATTACCTGACCAAACAGCTCTTATTTTCTAGACTTAGTAGTGAAGAGAAAAATACCGTAGAGCCTTACAGAAGTTTTGTGGGTGTAAGATAGTTGTGTTATTTTAGTGATTTAAAGTCTGTCCTTATTGACTGCTCAAGGCCTGGAAACTTCACTAGCTTGCCAGGCCTAAAATTCAGAGGCTAATATCAGATTCACGTAAGATATGCCAAAGGAACACTAATGCCCTAGAAAAATATTAGACTAGTTTTTAAAGTATGAGAAATCAAAATTTGAGACCCCAGCAAAAATAAGATTTGAGCTCACCTCAGTTTGCTATGTGTGGAGTAGCAAATACGATCTGCAGCCACCCTCTGCACACCTCTGGGGTCTGGGTGAGGGGCTGCCCTCTCCAGGGAGCTTGGCTTTTTTGGGGTATGGCCAATTCCTTCACAAGTTATAGCTCGTTTATAATAGCATTTCCTCAAAAAGGAAGCCTTCCACTGTCCCTTAAACTTGGTGAGGTTTCATAGCACCCTGCACTGGTAAGTTCCTTAAAGCAATTATATGTATGTAATTATTTTTAGGATCTTTATCATAACCTTCTGGAACATATCTAGGTCAGAAAATATTTGAATTACTGAAGATTTAATTCCAGCTATGTAAAATGTTGCAATATTTGAAAAATCTAGGGTTAAAGCCACACTTCAGTTACATAAAATTAGTGTAAGATTTTTTTCATCCACCATTTACCAATTTTAACAATTTTTGGAGTAAATTCTGATCTGCAAGGAGAACCTTAAGGACCTTGACCACAGAACTGATGTGTTGCTGTCATATATATAGTTACGACGGCTTTTCTTGTTTAGATTCTAGGGAAATTATTTCTATTGAGTATTTTAAAGTAGTTTAATGGAGAATTAGAAATGATAGCAAAAAAAAAAAATTTAAACACATGGTCTTATTTTTTTAAATCTGGATTTTAAAGAGGGTTTTTATGTGAGTGGCTTTATGATGCTAAATGTATTATTAACCTCTTGCAAGTCTGCTATTGTATTGACAGTCTCCTTAGATGCAGAGAAGGAAAATATAAAGTTATATTTGTCAAAATTGGAAGTCTTAAAATTCATTGTTTAGGAACGTAAGTGTTGAGGAATGTAGTAGTAAAATCTTGTGTTACAAGATTTTTGCATTTACATGACCTTTCACTCATTTTTCAGAATCTGTTCCTAGAGACAGAGAACCCCAAACAAAAATGCGAACATGTATGCATAATCAGAAGGATGCAGTGCAAATGCCTAGTGAAACTCTGAAAGCAAAAATGGTACCTGAGAAAGTTCCCCGCAGATGTGCTACTGTTGCTGCAAATAAAATAAAGATAATGAGTAATCTAAAGGAAACGATTTCAGGACCAGAAAATATCTGGATTAGGAAGAGTAGCAGAAAACTGCCCCATCGAAATGCTTCTGCTGCGGCTAAGAAAAAGTTACTGAATGTTTATAAAGAGGATGATACAACCATAAATTCTGAAAGTGAAAAAGAGCTAGAAGATACTAATAGCAAAGTGATTTTTTTTAGGCGGTTCAGATCTTGGAAAGAAAAAGCACAATAGTGACTGAGAATGTAGAAGTGGTATCTGAAAACAAGCAGGGGCCTCCCTGAAGCCGGCAGTTGCATTCTGCTCTAAGCCCTAAAGCTAATCCCTTCTTGGCATCTTTTGAGGAATTTCCTAAAAGCCATACTCCAGTGGGCGGAGTGGGAGGAAGGTTTCCTTCCAGCCAGCCCTTGAACTAACACATTATACAGGGGGGTCTGATGAGGAAGCAGATTGTGGAGTCTGTAGTTTGAGAGGTGGAAAGAAAAGGCAATGGGCCTGCCTTAAGAGTGAGGCTCCTTAACAGAGAACAAGGTCCTTAAAACCTGACTCCTTGAAGGAAGAAAATGGGAAGTGGACAGGATATGTAGGAAGGATGGAAAATAAATTTTTCAACACCTCAACCTGACGCTAATTTTAAGATTTTTTTTTTCATTTGAATATAAAAATTCTGGCCACCATGATTATGGTGTCATTACTGAAACTGGAAAAATATAGAGGTTCATTTTCAAAGTAAAGTGCTGGTGAGCCTATTTGTCTTTTGAGTGAAGCAAAAACTTCAACTAGATCTAATTCCTAAATTTCACATCCAAAGGTCAAAAACAAAAGTTGCAGAAGGGGATTTAATGCTGGAGTTCTGAAGCAGCGTTGGAAATAGGCAGATAGAGGAAATCCATTGATGTCTTATTTTGTTTAAAACTTTGGGATTCATACTGAATGATGACCACTTGGTATGACTAATTCAGGGAATATATATTTTTCTATGAAAGCTCTGAAGTGACTATCACTTTTCCTTGTTTCATGTAGCAGCAAAAATTAAGAGGCAGGCTTGGTTTTAATCAGAAAATAGTAGAGCTTAAGATCAAAGCAGTCATATTTTTAGATTATAGAGTGAAATATCACCTTTATCCTCAGCAACTTAAGAGTTGGAAGTTGAACAATGGGAAAACTTATTACAATCTCATCACAAACTTTTATGGCAGCATGTCTGGCTTATATCTTTGTGGCCTTTGCTAGGATTAGAAAATCTGATCATGGTACTACAAAAATTTTATTTGTAATGGGGCTTAATTTATTAATAGGTATTTGATCACTGGATTAAATGAATGTACTGTCAAATCTTTTTAACTTAGATGTTGTTTTCTCATTTAAAAATATCTGTGAATATCAGTATATAATTTGCATGTGTAATTGAAAAAAGTAAAATGTAGAAATCTAGGAGTTTCTATTTTTAAGACTAATGCTTATTTTATTTATTTGGTTATACAGATCGACAGAGTGTTTAGATTACTTGAGAAATTTGTGGCTGCATGTCTGTTTTTAAAAAGGCTTTGGGTTTTTCAGTGTAAGCCAGAATATTCTAACCTACAATGTGTCCTTTGTTCTTTTTCTAGTATACTTTAATTTTAAATACTGAGCTCCAAAATCTTGTTATTTAAAATAGTGAGAAAGGGAAGAATGCCTAATAAACTGCTATTTTTAGGTGCATGGGATTTAACTTTTGAGCTTTAATGAAATGTTAAAACTTATTTCCCAGTCCAAAATTTACATTAATTTCAAATTTCTTATTTGGTATATTATATCCTCAAAAAGTGCCATAAAATGAAAATATTTAAGTCTTAGTGAAGACTATTATGCAAAATTTTTAACAATTCAAATGTGAGAATTAAGTTTTGAGTTTGTAATCTTCTCTGGTTTTTGTCAGTATCTGAGATTGTATGGTCATCCTTTCATAATGGAATTCCTTTTCCAATTTAGTATTTAATTTAAACATATATTTGCCTTTTTATAAGTGCTTGGTCTGTTTATTGTAATTGCATGAAATAAGCATTTGTTTGAAACTTAACATTCTTGTAAAACTTTGAGATGTATGCAGAATTTAAATCATAGCCAAATGTGTTATCATTATTCTATAATAACTTTAGTCAGATTGTCAGAAAAGATTTCTTCATAATGTAATATCAAATGATGAAAAATCAAGTTGAATATCTTACTTGTAAAATGACAATTACTTAACAAAAGGACTAAGAAAGTGATGCCCAAACAACCTTTTTATCTGCAATTCACTCATACTAGACCGACTAATGCAGGAGTCCTCATGTTTTAAAATGTTATATTGGTAATCTTGTATATTCTTTCTCATAGATGATACCCAAGGTTTCCTAAGCTTGCGGCTAGCAGCTTGGTCTGTTTACTCTTAAGTGTTCACATATTTTATTTCCCCCTTGATGTGTAAAATTGCTGTAGACATTTTATGTAAGTGATCTTTTTGTTTTCCCACATCTTAAGATGTTTCTGGCAACTTGGAGATATTTTGGGCCAATCTCAAAAGACTCCCCCAATGTATCACCATTGTGACTATTCACTGAAAAAGTTCCAAGATGCAGGCAGTGACATCCATTTCAACACAACTAAATCCAGGATCTGTCTTTTGCGTTTCATTGTAGTAATGGATTCAGCCAAGAGTTGTCCCCTTTTCTCTCGCTTGGAACAGTGCTCTGTGAGCTTTGTCTTCCAGCACAAGCTAATAAAGAACCAATTCAATACCTAACAGTGAAAGGCTATTTAAGATGAAAAAAATAGGAGGCCAAGTTTTAAAAACTATTTTTGCATTCTCATAAAATGTTTTTTAGGTCGGTTTGACAGTCATCAGCTTTTGAATGCGAATTCCTAAGCCAGAGTAAAGGTCACATTTCTACAACACCACGAAGCACTGTATTTCTTCCTGCCCGCTGTCCCGGGCCTCCTCGCCGCTGCCCGCTGGGGCGACCAGGTGTGGAGCAGAGCTCAGTAAGCCGTTTCACTCCACCGCTCTTACTGGAGGGGAAGGAGAAGGCCCTGGAGGAAGGAAAAGCATGCGGGCCAGGATCTTGCTGAAGCACTTCCCGCAGAGGACGGAACCGTTACCTGTGTGACCGGAGACCCTCCGCGGGCTCCGCCGACGGGCTCACTTCCTGCCCCTCTAGCCCGCCGTCCTCCAGACTCTCGGTCTCCCCGCGTGGTTAAGGCAGTGGAAGGAAAACGCTCGGGGCTTCCGCTGCCTGCGGGTACTAAGTGGTGCGCGTGGGCGGTACAGGGGGCGTGGCTACGTGCACGGGCGGTACGAAGGCGTGGCTGAGCGGGGAGGGGGGCCGCCGCGCTAGGGGTGTGCCCACGCGTAGAGCAGTGCGGGGGGCGTGGTCGCGCGGAGGTGCGCGTGCGCCGTCCCGCGGCGCCGCGGTTGTGCGGACGGTCGGTCCCTTGGAGGCCATGGCAGCCACTTTCTTTGGAGAGGTGGTGAAGGCGCCGTGCCGAGCCGGGACGGAGGAGGAGGAGGAGGAGGAGGAGGCGGGACGGAGGGAGACCCCCGAGGACCGGGAGGTCCGGCGGCAGCTGGCGCGGAAGAGGTGAGGCGGCGGCGCGGGCGGCGCGGGGGTGGGGAGCGCGCTGGCCCGCGCCGCGAGGGGCCGGCGGGGCGCGGCCGGCTGCCCGGCCCGCTGCCCGGCCCGCTGAGCCTGCGAGCGCCCCGGGGGCTTTTCCTCCTCCCACGCTCCAGCCGGCCTTGCGTGGGTGGCAGGTGCACGCTCTTTTCAACCATTATTCCCCACATGGAGATGGGAGAACGCGAAGGACCCCGGAGGCCCGCACTCAGGTCAGCTCAGCGCCCACAGAGACTTCCCCTCCTGCCGCCCCCGGAGGGAGCACGGCCCGGGTACGGCCTGCACCCTGCAGAATGCGTCTCAAAATAGAGACTTAGGTCTCTTATAGTCTGCAGTTAGTAGTGGTGTTCCATATCGTCTCATATACCTAGTTCGGTCAGACTGAGATTTTCCGGTGGGTTTGGGTACATCGGTCTCCTGACCAGGTCCACGCCTTACACTTAGAGGGCTCATTTCGTTTGGAGCGGTCCACCTTCCCTTTTACTCCTGTAGAGAGGTCTGGATTTGTCTGGTTGCTCCTCCTGGAGGCATTTCACACGTGTGCTCATCACCTGCATCTCCTGCAAAAGAATGTTCATTTTGGAACTTGGATCAGATAGATTCACATTCTTTAGCGAGAGTGCTTTGAAGTGGTGCGGTGGTACTTTCTGTTTCTTGTTGCATACTGCCCAGTTTTTTCACTTTTAGGGATGCCAAGATTGATCAGGGGGTCAGATGGACATGAAGCTTGCTTGCAGTAGTTTTGTCTTGTTGATTATCAGTGCCTGAATCTGCTCTTTCTTTAGGATTCTAATTATATTCTTTATAGATTGCAAGTGTCAATTTTACCGGTTAGTAAAGGCACTTCAATCATACATATAATGTTGTTTTTTCAAAGTAGAATACTGACTGTGTTTAAGCTGTTTTGGTTTCATCTTGTTTCTTGTGTTAGGGAGGTGCGGCTTCTTCGAAGACAGACAAAAACATCCCTGGAAGTTTCTCTGCTAGAAAAATATCCTTGTTCCAAGTTTATAATTGCTATAGGAAATAATGCAGTAGGTAAGTGAAAAATGCAGAAGACTAGAGGTTTTGTTGAAAGAAAAAATACAAAGTTACTTCTTTCCATTCTAAAAGACTTCAAAGGTTAGTTACTTAAAAGAGAAAAGTCTTGGTAGAGTAACTTTGTTTCTGAGAGGGGATAAATACATCACCTGTTCATGTGTACTATCTTCTAAAAATGGAAATAAAAAATAAGATTTAAAGGAAATATTTGTGTCTTCAGGAACTTAAAGCTCAAGGAACTGTTTCTGGTGTGTTGTAGCCAGGTTTACTTAAATGTTTTTGAGTTAACAGGCTTTTGAAAACATAATGAGAACTCTAAAAATAACAGTGATCACTAGCTCTTTTGAGCAATTAAGTTCCAGTGTCTTTGTGTTGATTCACTTGGTGAGTTAAAGGTAGAAAAGTGTAAAGTTCATCTAGAACAGTGTCTGTACAAGACCTGTACACAAAGACCTTTATAATTTTAGGGGAGTTACAGGTATTGGGAGCATTTGGGAACCCCATTAAGATCCCTTGCCATATAATGCATCCCTGGGACTTTCAGAGCATAGTAAGTACATAGTAAGTGACTCTGACTCATTATATGAAGTTCTGGTCTCACATTTTTAGGGGAGTGTTACCCTGGGAGTCTGTGTGTAAGCCTGTCTTGTCCCTTCCTGGCTGTAGTCTTGTCTTACTCAGTGTGGCCTTTCGTGAAGCCCTGGCTGCCTCCTGCAGAGTGGTGGCATTAGATGGTCTTGAGGACTTTTTCAGCTCTGAAATTCTAGAGTAATCTCAGCTTTTTAGAGAATACAGCATGCAGGGCTAAGCACTAACTTGTGTGAATTGTTCTCTTACAGCATTTTTGTCATCGTTTGTTATGAATTCAGGCGTCTGGGAAGAAGTTGGTTGTGCTAAACTCTGGAATGAATGGTGTAGAACAGTGGACACCACACACCTGTCCCCTTCAGAGTCTTTTTGTGTGTTTTATCACCTAAAATCAAATCCCTTGGTATGTGGGACTTAACTTGTATGTTTAAAAGTTAGTTATTTAAGCATCACAGAGTCTTTGCTGTTAGTGTACCCCAGAATCTAACAGGCATGTCACTGAACTGCTCTCTAAGTGCATTCTTTATTCTGATACCAGTTATTAGTAATGGCTTAACTCTTATTAAATTTTAGATAAGTAAATGGGCCAGTAGTAGAGTCAGGAAGATAAGTGTTTGTGTTATCTTTCTGTCACTGTAACAAACATGTGAGATCTATCAGCGGGGGTTTTGGAGTTCCAGTACATGATCAGACAGACACATTCCTTTAAGACCTCTGATTGGGGGACAGTACATCATGGTAGGAGCACCACGCATAGCAAAGCTGCTTACCTCATGACCAGGAAGCAAAAGAGAAGAGGGGGAAGACCAAGTGTCACCTTCAAGGCTACCCCCATGACCTGAAGACCTCCTACTAGGCCCCCCTCTCTTCAGGTTTCCACCACCTCCCAGTAGTGCCAAGCTGATGCAGACTTTGGCAGATGTAGAAACTTTAGGAAACACATGGGTCTTTCGCAGACATTCCACATCCAGAGTACAGCAGTGTTCCGTTGGTATTCACATGATATGTATATGGTGGCAGTTTGGGTGTGTATAAAATGTATTTATCTTGAAAAAAAACTTTGAATTTTGTTTTTCAGGTCTTTGTCTGTCAGTGTAGTTGCTATGTTGCTGAAGATCAGCAGTATCAGTGGCTGGAAAAGGTAAGAGAGAAATGAGACCTGTGAATTTTTAGACTACAGAAGTTGCTGTTTTTTAAGGTTCAATGTCTTTTCATTTAAACTTATGCAGGAAAGGATTTTGTGTGTATTTTCTCAAATAAAAAACACTCTCTCCAGGCTCAAATATGACATCTGTTTTTCTAAGCATTAGATGTGAATAAATTTGTCTTCATTTTGCTGGAAAATTGTGCACATAGTTTTTGAGTGAAGAGTTGAACTCATCTAGAAATTTTAGAGGAAACCATAATTTTTGGCAATTACATTTTATAGTCCGAATACCCCTTATCTAAAATGTTTGGGACAGAAGGGAGGGGATTCAGGTCTAAACATATATTTATTAATGTTTCAAATACATCTTATATGCATAGTCTGAAGATAACTATACAGTGTTTTTTTATAACTTTCAGTATGAAACAAATTCTTGGTGTAGAATTTTCCTCTTATTTTATGTAGGTGCTCAAAAGTTTTTGGATTTTGAAGCATTTCAGATTTTAGATTTAGGAATGCTCAATGAATGTATATATATTTTTCATATATGTATCTTTATCTGTTTGTTTATTTTATGTACCAGGGATTGAACCCAAGGGTGCTTTACCACTGAGCCACATCCCCAGCCTCCCCACTTCTTTCTTTTTAAATATTTTATTAGTTGTTGGTAGACCTTTATTTATTTTTATGTGCTGAGAATCAAACCCAGTGCCTCACACATGCCAGGCAAGCACTCTACCACTGAGCCACAACCCCAGCCTCTCCCCACCCCTTTTTTATATTTCATTTAGAGACAAAATATTGCTAAGTTGTTTAGGGCCTTGCTAAGTTGCTGAGGCTAACTTTGAATTCGTGATCCTCATGCCTCAGTCTCTATGCTGCTGGGATTACAGGCATACGTCGCCATACACAGCATGTATCTTTATTTTGTGTGTTGTATATGTGTGTGATACTGAGAATTGAACCTAGGAGCTCTCTCTCTCTCTCTCTTTTTGTTTTTTTTTTTTTTAAATGTTTATTATCACGTGTAGTTAGTTTCCTTTTTTTTTTTTTTTTTTAATTTAAGAACCTAGGAGCTCTCTATCACTGAGTTACATCTCCAGCCCTAGTGAGCCAGGGGTTTCTCTAGGTTGCCGAGGCTAGCCTTGAACTTGCCATCCTCTAGCCTTAGATTGTTGAGTAACTGGGGTTGTAGGGGTGCACCACCATACCCAGCTTATTTTTATTTTTAATAGACACAAAATAGTACTTATTAATGGGCTGCACTGTGATATTTCAGTACAGGTGTATTGACCAGATGAGGGTCAGTGGGATGTCTTCATCCTCATCATTCATCATTTCTTTTTTTCACCTGTATTTGTAAATAAAGTAGGCCCTTCAGTCCTTATGTGAAATTCTTAGCAACATCTCAGCTTAAATCTCAGTGTATTTAACACTGGTATTAAAATTAAATAGAAATAAGAATTTCATTTTCTACTTTAAACCAGCTGGCTTACTTAGAGAAGCTTTTG